AAAGAGGAGGAGGAGGAAGAGGAGGCAGGAGGAGTCCGGGCAAAAACCTGCAGCCTGGACGCGGCCGCAAAAAATCTTCGCAAGACACCCAGCCCAGAACACCCGCGCGCTGGATGCACCCGGCGGGAAGCCCAGAGTACCCTGAGCGCGGCAAACTTCTGCAACGGCCGCGAGAGGTCACCGCGCAGCGCGCGGAGCAAAGAAACCCAGGGTACCCCGGCGAAAAGCAAAAGTTCTTGATGCGCGCATCGACGGTACCACCCCTGAGACTAGAGGCCTCGTATATGGGGTCCGAGCAGATGGGGTCGGAAGATCTCGACGCGTCGCCGGTACATCGGCGATGTGTCGGCGATGTATCGGCGATGCACCAGCAACGTCGGCGATGCGTCGGCGACGTCGGCGTGGAGAAAATTCAGCCCCACACCGAGCCGCATCGCCGATGCATCGCCGATGCATCGCAGATGCATGGGCGATGCGGCGCGATCCTCCGACCCCATCTGCTCCGACCCCATCGAGGAAGCCTGAGTTAGGTCGGGCCTGTCCTTCTACAAGCGGATTCTTGGGCGAATCATGAAAAATCCCCCGAAAATGCCCAAAGATGGTAAAAACAAAATCGTCCCCAGACTATTTTGGGGGACTATTTCTGAATATTCCCCTGGAGAGGGACAGGCCCGACTTGAGCCTAGAGAGACCCCACGCCTCGGTCGACGGTGGACCTGTCCACCCCGCCTCTGGTCGGGGGCGGCCAAGAGGAGGGCGTCCAAGAGGGGGGGGCGCAATTCATGGCCGGCGGCACGTGCGGGGCCCAGGGGGAGAGCCAGGGACGTAATGAAATGAGATGAGGCGCCATGAAATCTGGGGAAATATCATGGCCCATGCCATGATATCCCCCCCCCAGTCATCGCCCCCCTCTTTGCCGCCCACGCCTCTGGGCCGCTCGGCGATAGGGACGCACCGAGGGCCCTCGCCCTCGCTTAACGCAGCTGGGCCCAGGGGGCCACGGGGCCGGCACCACGCGCGCCCCCGCGCGCTCCCTGGGGGCTCAGCCCTCGGGTCGTCCTCGCTCCCCGCCCTCGGGTTGGGTCGGGCATGTCCCCCTACAGGCGGGGCGAAGCCCATACCCCGATAGAGTCAAAAATAATCACAAACATCGTCCCCAGACTATTTTTGTACTATTGTGAAGGATGTCTCCTGTAGAGGGACAGGCCCGACTTAAACCCTCGGGTCGCCCCGCGGCCCCGAGATTGCAACATCGCAACAAGTCGCGGCTGATCCGCGAGGATCCCGGGACCCGAATCTGGGCCGAGACGCCCTGCCCAGACTCCCGGCGTGGTGATTTTTTCGCAACATCGAATGCCAGAGGTCTGGACCCTATCTTCAGGACCGGTTTCTCATCCTGAGTCGTTTCTTGACGGTCCCGAGGCCCGGTGAGGGCCCCCAGAGGCCGAAAAGGGCGAAAAATCTCCCGTCGTGACTTTTCCACAACTCGAGGGGGTATGGGGGCTCGACAACCATCGAGGCGCCAGGATCTCAGGGACTGCTGTCGCCTCTACGACGCGAATAAGTAGGGAACCGAACTCTATGCACCGACGCTTTTTCCGGCCGGCACCGAACTTTGCACAGGAAAGCGGATCCTGGTGCATACGGGACCCGGGTGCTTCATGTTTCGGTCCTTCCTCGGGGCAGCGGAGAAACAAGCATACGCTAAACCACCCCGACGTCGTCCCCGACCCTCAAAAAGTCCTGGGACTTGAGTATCGTGCAACCGATCTCCATCCACAGCGGCGTGGCCTGGGCCCCTCTGGCCGATTGACCCCCCTAGATGGGGACATAGGCCGTTCCCGTCGGGCTTCGAGGGGCATATTGCCAACTGGGGAGGGGTAATTTGGTGGGGGCCTCGAAGGGGATGGGGGTGGGGATGGGGATCGTTTAACGGATACTGACTCAAAAAGTCCTGGGATTAAGTCGGGCCTGTCCCCCTACAGGGGGAGTTTGGGCGAAAAGTGGAAAATATTTCAAAACAAGCATACGCTAAACCACCCCGACGTCGTCCCCGACCCTCAAAAAGTCCTGGGACTTGAGTATCGTGCAACCGATCTCCATCCACAGCGGCGTGGCCTGGGCCCCTCTGGCCGATTGACCCCCCTAGATGGGGACATAGGCCGTTCCCGTCGGGCTTCGAGGGGCATATTGCCAACTGGGGAGGGGTAATTTGGTGGGGGCCTCGAAGGGGATGGGGGTGGGGATGGGGATCGTTTAACGGATACTGACTCAAAAAGTCCTGGGATTAAGTCGGGCCTGTCCCCCTACAGGGGGAGTTTGGGCGAAAAATGGGAAAACAAATTCAAAAATACTCCACAATGTTCAAAAAAATACTCAAAAATAGTCCCCATACTATTTTTTGATTATTTTTGGACATTCCTCCTGTAGGGGGATGGGTACGACGTAATCCTGGGATTGAAAAACAAACCGCCGCTGGCCGCGTATACGCCCCAGTTTCCGAAGCAGGTCTCGCGCTCTCCGGGCCACAAAAAAAACTCGGACCTCTGGCGGCCGATCGGGACGAGGGCCCCGCCATCGCTCGCGGCACTGTCCATTCCCCGTGCACCCCGTCGGCTTCGCGCGCGTCTCTTTCGCAAGAGGCCCCAGATAGAGAGGCATGAAAACAAAACAAAAAACACATAAACATATAAACTTTTGGCGCTCCTCGCGGATTGCGTGGATCCGCGCTGGGCCCCCCCCCTCCCTGGCGCGCGGAGCGCGCCAGGGGCGGCGCCGGAGGCGCCGCCGGGGAGGCCCAGCTAGGATCCAAGAAATCCGCGCGGAGCGCCAAAGTTTATGTTCCTCTTCGACCGACATGCTCCTCGATGGGTCTTTCCCGAGAAGCAATGCACACGCCCGAGCCTGCACACACGTGCGGGTCACAGACAGCTTGAGACCCACGGTCCAGAGAAAAACACATACAAAACAGAGTCGAACTCATCGTGCACATCATCGTCACGTATTTGCTCATGGAAGGGTAGGGGGAGGGAAAGCTTCTTAGAAGGAGGCTGCTTCTTAGAAGGCGCCGGCCCTATATCTACAGGCAAGGCTGGCGCTGTCTGAGAAGCAGAGAGGAAGCTGAGAAGCCCGCGGAGTTTCTGGCAGACGGCATGAAATAAACTTCTCGCAGATCCCCGCAGAGTTCCTGGACCGGCGCCAGGGGCGCCCAACGACGATCCAAGAAATCTGCGCGGACCTGCGAGAAAAGAGACCCTTCCGAGGGCCACGCTGCCACAGGAAAGTAGCACACCTTGGCCGCGAAACACAGGACACGAGGTAGCCTTGATTTGGCAGGGTAGATCTACTAAATCAAAGTCGACTGTTCGGTGGCATCTCATGGGAACCTCCCGTGCCATCTTACTGACTCTGGTAAATCGGCGCTAGTTGACGCTACTCGACGCTGATCGACGACGCCAATCGCCGACAATCGACGCTAAACCGACGCTGAGTCGACGCTAAATCGGCAATCCCTCTCATCGACTACCAGACGCTAACGCATGCGAATCCCATCGAAAGACGGAACCACGAAGACACACAAGGTCCGCAACCCCCTCCCCGGATCCATCATGTGCCGCTTTGCACCCCAAGTCATGGGCCAACTTTGCAGCGAACACGTTTTTCATTAATCAGTGTTGCGAGACCAAGTGTTATTATGTGTCTGTTGGACACTCGATTTGGAAATCCTTCCGAAGCCGAAGATTCTTGAAGGATTTCGGCATGCGCGCGCGACGACGCGCGCGTGTGTTCTTCGCCTCATTTTGTTTGCAAGGGATGTTTGAACATTTTTGATTTTGTGTAAACGCTGCGGCCCGAAAACTGCGCCCAATGACTAAAATCTTCTCGCGAGAACCCAGCACCTCGAACCTCGCCCCTCCTCTGGGGGGGGGCGCGCAGACATGGATTTTAGCGATCCATGGACTTGGCGCGCGGTCGCCAAATCCATGCATCGGGGGAGGTGCCCTCCCCAAAAAGCGGCCGGTGAAACGCCTCGTTCGGCGGCGGAAATCCACGACTCCCCATGGAAACGGGGCCCGTCGCGAATCCACGCCCCCTTGATCCATGTTTGCGGTCGCCTGACGAACTGACGAACATTCGTGGGTACCCTCCCCAAGGATACACAAGAACATCCAACAAGCACGAAGAGAATTGGGGTACCATTCCCGAACCGACCTCGGTCTTGGCGGCGCGCACATAGGAGTAGGGGGACGCGGGCCTTACATCTACAGACAAGGCCGGCGCCTTTTAAGAAGCAGAGGTGCTTTTGAGAAGCCTTTCCACCTCCCCCTACCCCCCTCTGCTGATTAGCAATACACAAGGACCCCATAACCCTCTCGGAGGGGGCAAAAGTTAGGAGGGCCAAAAACATTAGGGATGGGGGGCCTTTGCAGATGTATCACACCAAACCGCCCAGATCTACCATCCCGAATGCACAGAAGAAAACGTTAGTAGAGGCCCCGTAGATGGGTCCGAGTAGATGGGGTCGGAGGATCGCGCCGCATCGCCGATGCATCGCCGATGCATCGGCGCCGCATCGCCGATGCGCTAGCGACGTCGGCGATGCATCGGCGACGTCGGCGTGGGGAAAACCACGCTCCGCATCGAGCCGCACCGTCGATGCATCGGCGACGCGGCGCGATCCACCGACCCCGGCTGCTCCGACCCCATCTGGGAGGCCTCTACCTTCGGACCAGACGGCCTCTCCACGTCGTGAGGCCTCTGGCCCCTCAGGGCTCGTCTGTCCTCGAGGCTCTGCGCGTGGCCGTCGCATGGCCGTGCTCTGTACGCTCGCGTCTGCGGCTGCCGCCGCTGGCCGGCGGGCCGACCGGCCCGCGGCCGAGGAGGAGGAGGACGAGGAGGGGGAGGAGGAGGAGGAGGAGGAGGAGGAGGAGGAGGAGGAGGAGGAGGAGGAGGAGGAGGAAGAGGAGGAGGAGGAGGAGGCCCGCGCGGCCGGGGCGCACCCCGCCCGCGATGGCGCCGTCCCGCTTCTTCTTCGCGGCCGCCGCCTCGGCCTCGGCCTTTCGCGCGCGGGCGGGCCCCGCGGGCCGAAGGCCAGGAGGAGGAGGAGCAGGACCCAGCCGCGAGGCGGGGGTGCAGTCAACCCGTATCACAAGGATGGGCGGCAAGGATGCAAGGATCTGGGAGGGCCACGGGAACGCTTTTTTCGAGCGAGAGTGAAGCAGCGAGAGTCGCCAAGGATGGGCCGAGGAGGCAAGGATGCACGAGAGCATCCAACAAGCACGAAGAGCATCAGGGTACCCTCCCTGAACCGACCTCGATCGTATGCCTCGGTCTGACTGTATCCGAATTCACCGCCCGTGGAGCCGACGTCCTGGGGACACAGCGGGCGGTGGATATGGATAGACATTCATACATGCATACATGCATACATACATACACACATACACACATACACACATACACACATACACACATACATACATCCATCCATCCATGCATACATACATACATACATACATACTTACATACATACATGCATGCATGTATATATACACACATACATCCACATACATCCACATATATACATACACACATACATACATACATGCGTACATCCATCCATACATACATACATACATACATACAATACGGTACCTTTCATTACCTTACATTACATGACATTACATTACGATAATTACATGCACACATGCATACATACATACATACATGCATGCATGCATGCATACATACGTACATACACATATGAATGCATACATACATCCGTGCATATATACATATGTGCATGCACGCGTATGCCCATACATACATACATACGTACACGCGTGCATGCGCACATACCAACACACATATCTATATACGCACATATATACACATGCGTCCACACATACATGGATACATACATACATACATGCATACATACATATATACCTGCATGCATACATACTTACATACAGTTAAACATATCTATCACTGCATGCATGCATGCAAACATACATGCATACAAGCATGTATACATACATACATACATACATACATACATACATACACACACATACATGCATGCATACATACATACATACATGTGTAGTGTCATGCATGCATACACACATGCATTCATGCACGCATTCATACATACATGTATGCATGAATGCAGACCTGTTGATGTACACCCCTACATGCGTGTGCATACATGCATGCATAGACACATACATGCATACACACATGCCTGTATATATACATACATCCATACATACATACATGCATGCATACACACATGCACACATAGACATACACACGTACGTGTATGTCTACATACATTGATGCATACATACATGCATGCATGTACAGTGCATACGTATGTATACATACATACACTTCTGTACATACATACACACACGTATACACAAAGGTATACATATATATATATATATATGTATGAATACACATGTGTGGGTTCCCAGGGGCCAACATATACCCATACCCACCGCCTGTGGAGGTCCGCGAAAGTCCATCCTCCAGGCGGTGGTCACGGATAGATCCCCGCCTCGGACCAGCCGCCCCCGAGATCATGGCGCTGCGACCTCTTCGGTCTGGGCGCTTTCGCTCGGCGTCGGGGGCCCGGGGCCCTCGCAGGTCGGTCGGGCTCGAAAGGGGGACGCCCAAAAGTGGGGCCTGGGGCTCCCGACGCGACCTCTTGCTTCAGTAGGAGCTCGACCACAAGAAACCTTCCACAGGAAACCCAACCCTGAGACCCTAGGACGTCCATGGATGTTTGGTGTGGGAACGTCACGCCTTCCATCGCAGAACCATCGGAACCCAGAAAGCCCAGGGGCACCCTGGAGGCAAGCAGGGTGCTTCTTGGCATGGGTCTCCAATGTAAAACTTGCCGCTCCAATCTTTGCTGGAGCGACTGATCTCTGGGCCCAACCTTGAGACCCCTTATCTCCATTGACTCTTGGCGTGGGAACGTCACGCCTTCCTTGGCAAGACCGTCGACACCCCAAGGATCCCAGGGCACCCTGGAGGCAAGCAAGGCGTTTCTTGGCATGGGCTTCCACTGTGTGCTGCACCTTTTCTTGGCAACGACAGATCGCAGAGGCAGGCGAGCACTGCAGGGGCCCCAAGACCGTGTGGTGAAGGACCGCGCAGTGACCTCGAAATCCCGAAGGACCTCACCACACGGTCCGTCACCGCACCGCTGCGAGATCTGAGCCGAGGACAGCAGAACCCACCCCCACACCCAGGCCAGGACCCCCATTCCCGACCTGGTGATCCACATGTCCTGGCTGGGGGTGAGGGTGGTCTTCTGGCCCCTAGAGCCCCGACAAAGCACCCCCACCCCTGTCCAGGACCCCCCCTTGATCACCAGGTCGGGAGTGGGGGTCCTGGCTGGGGCTTGGGGCAAGGGGGGCGTCGTGCTGTCCTCAAGCCTTGGGGTCCCAAAACCGCACGTACAGTGAAAGAACGACCGCGCGGTGACATCGAAATCCCGAAGGACCTCACCACACAATCCGTCGCCGCCCTCCTCCTCCTCCTCCTCCTCCTCATCCTCCTCCTCCTCCTCCTCCTCCTCTACTCCTCCTCTTCCTCCTCCTCTTCCCTCCTCCTCTCCTCCTCCTCCTCCTCCTCCTCCCCTCCTCCGCCCCAGTCGCCTAAATCCAAAAATCGCGTTGTGATCCCGCATCCCCACGGACTCACCACATGGTGCGCTCACCACCCCGCGTGGTAAGTCCGCTCCCGCTCCCGAACACTCCTCCTCCTCCTCCCTCCTCCTCTCGTCTCCTCCTCCTCCTCCTTTTCCTTTCCTTTTCCTCCTCCTCCTCCTCCTCCTCCTCCTCCTCCTCCTCCTCCTCCTCTTCGTCCTCCTCCTCATCCTCTACCTCCTTCCCCCCTCCAACTTATGGTGGTGGTGAGAAACAGGCCCATCACCCCTGTTCGGCTGGCCCCGGCTTCAGACTGCGAGGCAGCCGAGCCGCGGACACCCCTGCGACAGAGGGGGGGGGGGCCCAGCTCGGGGAGGGACGCGTCGACCTGGAGGATCGGCGACGCCTCGCCGATAGATCGGCGACGACAGGCCCCCGATGGCGAATCCGCACGCTCCCGGGGGGGGGGTGGGCGATCGGGCCCCACATGGGCGATGCATCGGCGATCGGGGGTCCACGCACCCCCACCCTGAGCCGATCACCCCCGAAGGTTGCCCCTGATCCTCGCCGCCCTGCCCCGATCGGCGGCGCATTCGGGGGGGGAAGCGAGAGGGGGCGGGTCCTTTCTCAGGAAGGCTCAGGAAGGCTAAGTTCTCTCTGAGCCCTCCCCGAAGGCGCGGAACACTTCTCGGGAGGCCGGAGGGCTGCTGAGAGGTCCCGCCGCCGCAGTCTGAGGAGGCCCGCTCCTTCTCGCTCCCCACCTGAGCGCGCCGCCGCCGACCCAACCCCTCCGTGCTGAGTCGACGTCGGCCTTTGGACAAGCGCCTCCCCGGGCACGAACAGCGCAGGGGGCCGAGTCCGTCGAGCGGCGGCTGGCCGCGGCAACAAAGAGGAGGCCCCTGAGGGGCATCCCCCAATTCCCAACACGTCTGCATGTCTTGGGCTCCCTTCCGGCTGCTGGTGCATCCACGGCCTGTGGCGCCCGCCACGCGAGCTGCCTCAACCGGATCGGCTGGCGTCTCGCATACGCGCCACAGACGCCACAAAGCACGATGACGTCAAGACTCCCATCGTCATGGCACCCTCGCGACGACTGCGACCGCCCCTGTTCTGCCTTCTATCCTCCCTCCCCTCCCCTCCCTCCCGCCCTCCCCTCCCTTCCTCCCTCCTCCTCCTCCTCCTCCTCCTCCTCCTCCTCCTCCTCCTCCTCCTCCTCCTCCTCCTCCCCCCCCTCCTCGCTTGGGGGGAGGGCGAGCCCAGGTCAGCCAGAAAGATCACGGGCCCAGTCGCCCAAGTGACACCGCAGCTCTCTCCACGGGTCCACGCCCTTGTTGATGGACCTGTTTCCACCACCACCACCACCACCACCACCACCACAAGCTGGAGGGAAAGGGGGTCATCCTCCTCCTCCGCCTCTTCCTCCTCCTTCTCCTTCTCCTCCTCGTCCTCCTCCTCTTCCTCCTCCTCCTCCTCCTCCTCCTCCTCCTCCACCTCCTTCCCCCCTCCAACTCACGGTGGTGGTGGTGGTGGTGGAAACAGGCCCATCACTCGTTCACCAAAGCTGAAACAGTGAGCCATACCGCACGCGAGGTCGTCGACAAGCCCCGTGCGTAAAGCTCGTCTTCGCGCGAGTGCGTCTTCAGAACACGGCTCTCGCGTGAGACTTCCTCTAGTGCCATATCTGAGTCCCGAGCTGTACACATGCGAATGGCGCAGATGGATGGCGGTTCCATTCTGAAATGGGGCTAGTGTGTGAGACGCCCGTGTAAACCATTGCCAGAACATCGGCAAATACGAAACAGGTATGGAGGCAGAACCTTTTCAAAACCGGGCTATCGTTGGACATCTAATTGAACTGAACCGCCCTACCTCTTTGAGTGCTGGCATTTTTGCTAAAGGGTGGAGGGTGGTTCCTGTACAAAACGGCGGCTCGCCTGAGTGGCAGCCCCACTGGGCGCTCGCCGTTCGAGGGGGACGCTTCTCGCAGCAGAGAGCAAGAATCCTGGGGACTTGTGCGGACTTGACTTGGGACCGGGAAGGTGTGCTGCAGCAGCGGTGGTGCCTGGGGTTTACTTTGGTCCCCCTCCGTCTTCCGTCCTACGTCTTCCGCCATTCGTCCTCCTGCTCCTCCTCCTGCTCCTCTTCCTCCTCCACCTCCTCCTCCTCCGCCGTCCTCCGTCCTCCGTCTCCCGTCCGCCTGCTGCATCCTTCTCCACCTCCTCCACCTCATCGACCTCCTCCACCTCATCCTCCTCCTCCACCTCCTCCTCCTCCAACTGCTCCTCCTTCTCATCATCATCATCATCATCATCATCATCATCATCATCATCATCATCATCATCATCATCATCATCATCATCATCATCATCATCATCATCATCATCATCATCATCCT